GTGTCGATCATCATGTAAAGATACCTCATTCACTCTGGTATCGAATACGAAATATTTGTAGCACAGACTGTGTGCAAGTTGAACTTGACTTTCTAAGAGGTACGGTTGCAGAAAACAACTATTCCAGAGTATGTACTGATAAGAATATGCTAGAAAGTCATGTGAAATTACTCATCTTCTCAGTTACTAAAGAGAATTTTTTCATAAATCTGGAATTTGAGTGTGATGCAGGATCAGACATCCTGAAAAATTGTCTGTCGAGATCAGTTAGTAGCACCTCGTTTGCAGCCAAACTTTATCTGACCTCAACTAGTTGTAAATGGTTCTCAGTTTGTGTAAAAGGCAATATCCGTCGATGGGCCACCTCCATGTATATCTGCTAGTACACTTGCTTCAGGGGAACAAGGTACGTCGGCCGTAGTCAGAGATGTCTGTCAACATGAATACGAGAACATATTCCAGCCTGGTTTTATAAGAATGAAAGGACTTTGATTATCGAGCTCCTCTGGGTCTTCTTCTTGGCAGGGCTCAGTCATTAAGCTAGGTGTTTAACGACTCGGCTGGATAGACGCCTCTCCATAAGACCAATGTATTTCCTTCAACAGATACACCGGAATTGACGTATGAATTCAGATGTGTCGAATATTGACTACTTGTCTTTTCTTGATGAATACTACTGAAGTTTATGAATTGATTAAATTCACACTTCACATTTCAAGTTCGTATTGATCATGGGTTGACATCAATTAAAGGAATATTGGACACCTGGGAGCACTGGACAACTGTTTTGTCATAGTATGGGACTCCTCAGTGGTGCGCAAACATGACCTTGTCGCACTACGGATCGAACCCAGGACCTTCAGGCTACGTGGCCAGCACTTAAGCATTGAGTCATTGGATTGGAATCTAGTGGTCCATATTTCCTACTTCTCTCAGTTTACGACATAAAACAACCATCATCCAATGTTATCGTTGAGTATTTGTCCTCACATACATCAGGTTTGCCCCACCCATCGGCTCAATGGTAACAGCTGGTCACGAAACCTGAAGGTTCTGAGTTCGATCCGTAGTGAGGTAGGGTAATGGGTGCGCACTGCTTAGGAGTCCCATATTATGATGAAACAGTTGTCCAGTGCTCCCACGTGTCCAATGTTCTTTCAACTGATATCAGTCCATGATGAATACCCCAAAGTGAATTTTTGTCTTTTGTCGTTTATTTTATAAAGATTTGTCCATCAGCATTTAAACTATAAACACTTATCAAGTTTTAGTATACCTTGAAGCCATTGTTAGGAATTATATTACATAAAGTGAAACAAGGAATCAGGGTAAAAAAAGATTTCGTTTTGTTTTAAGGAATCTCTTCATCTGCCTACAACTTAAAATAGTTAGATATAAAGGAGAACTATCTACGTACTTTAACCGAGTTTACACAAGAAATATCCGTTGAGAAGATAAGTTGACACAACGTCAACAAATCTAGCTAATTTCGAAAAAAAATGTTGGGAGGCTTATCTATTTATAGGTTATATGGGTGAATATTTAAGGAACAAGAGGATGATGAAAGCAGAAGGAAACAGAAAACATTAGATTAGTGATCACGTGAACTCCACGAAAGCATTCACCTCAAAGCAAAGAATAGGATGAATAGAAATCAGGAAAAAACCATAAAAAGGTAAAAAAAAAGGATAATTTAGTCATTCAAAATAATAACATTATAAATAAATTTAGTTTTATAGTATTAATCCACTGTGACTTCAATGATATCACACTTTCTGACTTTTTCATTGTGCAAGAGTAATGCGCATTATAATGATTCACATCATTGCTGACTGTGACGAGAATAGCTGAGCGTCTAAATACCACCACTTCTTTCAATAACTTAGGAGCCGAGGAAAGACATCCCCACCAGGAGGCTAAGGGTTATAGTGACCATTGTGTTGCTCTGAATTAGTAGCGGTCAGGAAAGCTGACGTAGTATCAGCAGTGGTTTTGTGTAAGTGGAAAGATAACCAAAGAATTTGATTCTATAAACCAAATACTCAAACCGACATAGTGGGCTGAAAAATGATTTACCATTTGTATCAAATTGTTCCATGTATGCACTGCGAAGTAAATTTAAAACAAAGCCTACACATATGCTCAGTTTTATGAATTAAAAAGATTGAAATTCTGTACTGTGACCTATTTTTCTTCACAGAAGCGAAGGCTGATGATGGTGAACAAATTAACTTGCATCAGAATTTGAAACATTTGTCTGTAGACTAACACATCAGCACCCTATAAGCTGAAATACAAAATCTGAGGGTTAACTGGATGTCAGATTTGTTTGTGCTTTGGAGTGTATCTCCTTAGCTAGCTGCCGTTCCCACTGTTATAGTCACAGTCTAAACTAGGAATAGTTGAACATCTCTTATTCACATGACAGTAAGATAAAATATTCACTTTTGTCTTGCACATCAGTAGGACAGGAAAACAAGTTGAGTTATGCAGATTCTACTGGCTTAAATCTCGCTGTAGTACAGTTGTCCTTTCATCATTCGTCACACTTTTTGAATGCATAAATAAATTTACCAGTCAAAACTTTTTCAAAAGGATGCCTAACAGTAATGTATCATAGGCTCTACTAAGAAAATGTTTTATGAGGATTGAACAGGTTTTTGATAATCGATTTCTTCATCGTATTTTTGAAAACGACAAAATTTAGTAGAGCACAATTTTTTTCTTTAAGATAAAAAGATATTCAGTTCAGAGTATATGGTTCATTGGTTAATCACTGGAAGGCAGCCAATTTCACGATGTTTAATCCTAAGTACCAACCAAATTCTCTCAATAATTTTGCCCTATGGCCACCAAGCTAAGAGGCTCACCATCATGATGCACTTCTGGTGGATGAAATTCGACCAGGAGTCAGGACAAGATGACGTGACGTTGCTTGCTATGCAGTGACCAGTTTTTGAATATGGTCCACTCCCACAGGAGGTCAGTGGTGGCTCAAACGGCTCAGTGGTAACGTCGTTAACTTTAGATTGCTGAGTGATGCGACTCCCAAGCTCACAGGGGACATCACTTCCTCCTAGGTTGCAAATAGGCCCTGCTGATAGGTGCCAACATGCGCAAAACCCAGGTGAAAGGCTTTCTGTCGGTTGCCTCAAACCACTTAACAGTACCTCGTCCACTTCATACCATCAACAGCCTCAAGGCAGTGGGCATGAAGGCTATGATATTTTATGGACAACTCACAACTTACCAACAGCACTCACCAACCACATAGAAATGATCGAAACACCGGCCGGCTGTTTGAGTCTTTTGGAGTTGAAATTTCATTTGAATAACATAATAATGAAGTCTTTATCATACATATCATTTTAAGATAAAAATCATTGTCAGCATTAAAGGTGGATACTGTGATGCAGGAATAAAATGTAAGCCTCCCATTAAAACTATTTAGTGTACAGAACTTGTTGCTTTGCTCCCAAGTCTACAAGATTGTCTCAAAAGGAAGTTCATTTTATCAATTCACTTTTAAAATACTTATTCCACAATATGGTTTGTTTCTAAGCCGGCTTCTGAAAAGTCAATCAAGCAGTCATAAAGCTTGACAATAAACAAAGACTGAACTTACAAAGTACTGATTAAATTGCACCCTAAATAAAATATTGTTTATCCAGATATAAGTTATTGTTGATATTCCGTTCATACTTAAATGAATCTAATGTTATCACCTTTTCGAAGCTAAAAGCTTCAATATTTCACTATTAAATGTATCAAATCTCTTCATTGGACAAGAAACAAAGTTTTCAGTTTAGGAAAAAGCAATACATGTCTATTTGCACATAGGTGTATACGGAACCATTTATCATCTTTTTTAGATTATTAATTATTGTCGACATCATTATTTCTAAAATCTCCTATTCCTAGTCATAATTGTTTACCAGCTCATTGTGTGCAAGCAGTTAACATGAAGAATTTTATTCGCTGTCTTATTTTGCTTTTTAAATGAATTCAATTCATTCTTCTTTTTGTTTAATATAGATCGACTAACTGACTTGAATAAATAAATTTCTTAAAGGCATACATAACACGAAAGTATACTTTTTTTTGTCCCTATTCGATTGTCTTTTGTTGAGCAGTTCAATCACTTATGTAATTGGTTTATCCTAACAGTAGATGAATAGACATATAGGTTAACATAATGTTAGACACGTATTATCCAACAAATTCTATGCCTCAAGCATTGCTGTACAAGCAGTAGATTTACATAGGTTCATACATACGTATATGTGGATACACCGCACTCTATTCTATAGGTAGGAATATCCATGCCTATTATTTCACTGAGCTTTATCTCAAAATTCACAAGAAGAAATTCTCACTGCTTTTTATTCCTTCTTTTTTCCCATTATACAGAAAATCACTGATCAATATGTCTGTCCGTCGATCAAAATCGACACCGATTATAGGGATTCTCTTATATGTATAGGTGTATTGCTTGTTTCACTTCTCAAAGATATTTATTATACAGATCATTATTATTAATATTATTATTATAGGCTAACTTACACTGAAATAATTGCACTAATTTCAACAACAATAAATTGTCAACAGAAGTGATATAAAACAATGCAAATCCATTTTAAGGATTATATGAATAAAAGCAAAACTGTCTCAATCAGGTATTCGTGTCTACACATGTGAATGAATATCTTTAGCATGAATAAAACAGCTCACCTTGAACATAAATATACATCTCATAGATTGATTATTTAGAAGAGAAAACAATGCAATACATAAATTTTCTTATTCTTGATAAATTATGCAATAATTATGAATTCAATACCTAAACAGTAAAAATAATAAACTGTAATTTTACCAGGAAATTTAAAATACTCCTGGAAATGTTATCACCTATTTTATTGATCATTATTTTACAAAGTGGAAATTATTTTATCCATCATAGGTGGATTTGGATGTTGTAAAGTCTATTGAAAAGAAAAGAGATGGTTGATCTCAGAGGTCATGAAATTCACACATCGAATCTAAACAACATTAGTACAACAGTAACGTCCACAGTTAACGGAGGTTTAGTTACAAACTCTTTCACTCTAGGTAACAGTAATATGTCAACTTACAGATCGAGTAATAATGATAAAGAAGACGATGCGGAAGAAGAAGAAGAAGACGATGAAGAGGAAACTAAACTGAAGGTGAAAAAGGAAGATAAAGTGAGAAAAACTCACACTGATAGAAAGATACTGACCAAGGAAAAACGTGATCATGAAGATAATGCTCATCTAAAAGATGAATTCATCCCTCAAAATTATGATGAATATAACTTTAAAAGTGGAATAGATTATCAAAAATTAAATTCATTGAAAAAATTTCAATCTTCTAACAATCCTATAAATTCAACGAAAAAATTGATAATGTATAAAACAGAAAATGAGAATGATTTAGACATTTCCAAGGATGCATCAATGCGTAGTCTAGCCAAGCGTACACTTACTATCGGTGTTCCAGGATTACGTCCATCAAGTCATAAAACATTATTCATCTTCTCTGAAGAAAATGCTATCAGAAAATATTCAAAAATTATAATTGAGTGGGGATATCCTTTTTAGCTGATCATGGTGATTATTTGGAATTTAACTAAAGGAGGTTTTATTTATGATATCATTATTATTATTATTATCATTACTATTATTATTCCTAAGTTTATTATAAGTAGTTCTACTTCATGCAGTTTCACTTATCTTCCTAGAAATTTCCATAGTATCATATACGCCTGCAGTAAGTGGTACTTTAGAACGCATAGTCATTAGTTTAACCGCTTCAGTGCTTGATGGTATATACGTGTATGCATTTATGTGGAAATGTTAGTTAAGTATGAAAAATTGCATAATCTTTAAAGTATAAGTTTCTAGCTATTTATTTTAAAGTAAAAAGTCACAATCTAGTCATTTTACACTTTAAGTAGATCGATTATTTACAAGTCACTTCAGATTTGAACATTTTTGACTAGTGGAGCCAAGCAAGTCAAACATGAGGACAGTTACTCAATGGCGACACTGGATGCAGGTCATGCTATACTGTGAACTGAGAGAAGTAGGAAATATGAACCACTAGATTCCAATCCAATGACTCAATGCTTAAGTGCTGGCCACGTAGCCTGAAGGTCCTGGGTTCGATCCGTAGTGCGACAAGGTCATGTTTGCGCACCACTGAGGAGTCCCATACTATGACAAAACAGTTGTCCAGTGCTCCCAGGTGTCCAATATTCCTTTAATTGATGTCAATCCATGATGAATATCAACCTGAGATTTTAAAAGTATTATCGTCCTTTCTTTTATTACTGTGATGATACTGATGACAACGTATTCGATAGTTAGTTTGTGGAATTGAAATTTGGATGGAAACCAAGTTATAGGCTTGTTATGCACTTGAGAAGTTAATTTACACTTACCAAAGACTATATTAGAGTGACTAAATCAGGAGGAAAATATTATTCAAAAGGTTACTGAAGCAAATTATATTTACACTTCAGTCAAGAAGTGTTATCTGAGTTTATATTGCTAGTAGTGAACTTTGGTGGCATTGTGATGGTCAGCAATTTTAGCAGAACTCTATGCTATTGTAATGAGTGTGATGTTGACATTCACTAAGTAGCTTGTTGAGATTAGTTGATTTCACAGAGTCTACATCTGGGATTAATGCAGGTTGGAGGAACATTGGAAACATGAGAAAACTGGATAACTATTTCCTCCTGATTTTTGACTTCAACAATTCGGGAAAGGGGGGGGGGTACACACTACTCGAGAGTTTCAAAACAATAACTGTGGAGTACTCCAAGATATTCAGTAGTTTACCAGTTGATATCAGTTTATGAAGTGATCAGTCAGTAGATACTGCTAAAATATTTTTGGTTGACACTTGCATTGAGAAGTGACACTAGTTCTGTAGTAAATGTGTTTCATGAGACTCTCAACTCATCATATTCAGATAGTATATGCTCACAGTAAAACTTCTGAGTGTATGTTCACTTCAGGACCGTATAATAGTTCAATAACTTACAGTGCATGAAAAAATTTCCACCAGGTTTTGTTAAATCATTTCACTTGCCTAGTATTAATGCTCAGTTCCCTCTAAAGGTAGCACATACGGTCTTACCTACTTCGTGTCTTGCATAGTTCCTATTAGACAAGTAGATATTTTTTTAATTGATTATGAAGGGCGTAAATTCCTTTCCTTTTATATGTGCTTTTGAATTAATACTCTTACGTAATCACCTCAAGCAAAAATTATGACTGACTATATGTCTATAAATTTATTATTAGAACATTCTTCATAACTATGTTCTATTCAATTTGTACTTTCAAATGAAGTGAGTATAATAAGTTCTGCAATTAACCATGGTAATAAGATAAGATACATATAACGAGAGTAAGTTTAGCGTTAGGAGAAACTATTTTGAATACGCAAACTTGTTAATGCTCACAATATACGTCCCATTTTCTCTTGGAATTCTTCACCGTTTTTATTAATCTCTGTGTAAATTGACAAGGGACTATTTTTAATAGAATGACAAGTCTGAAAATATTTTATACACTTATACTACTTCAGAATTAATCTTGAAAACATACACTGAAAAATATTGAATGTAAAATATCCTTCAGGGTCATAATTAGGGAAAGAACTGAATAGTTTTCATCTTTTAGGAGGTTAAATCAAACCAGTTGGAAGTGAAGTGGCTCTCAACAGATGAATAGTCGCGCTACATCATGAATTTACAGAGGTTTGAAAATGTGGATGATTAACGTATTCACTGCAAGACCTAAAGTTTCCGAGTTCGACCCCTGGCAGGGTCTTGAGTGAGTACTGCTAAGGAATTCTACACTTCAACAAAACAGCTATCCAGTGTTCATAGATTTTTATTGGTTCTGCAACTTATATTATCCCGTGATGAGTACTATATCGAAAGGATGGTACAAACTGGTAGTCCTGTTGCTGAGTAAGAGTAAACTTCTATTAAGGAAATTTATGTTTCAGAGTTGAGTATTTTAGTTTGTGCAGATTTTAAAAAAAGTGTGGATAAATAAACTTAAGGAATTCGATGAATTGATTGGAGTTCATCGTTTCTTATCAACTATACGCATATTAATGGAACCAAATATTTTAAGAGTTATAAACTATTAATGTACTTTAAAGTCGAAGTGCACAGTTTACTATCGATTGTTTTATGCATATCAAGAAAAGTAATCTACAGTTAAATTTTGAGGGAGTTGTGGAGATTTGGAAATATTTCAAGTTGTTATTCATCGAAGACTGACATCAGTTGGAGGAACAAAGGAAACCTGGGAGCACTGGACAGCCGTTTCGTCCTAGTATGCGCACTGCTGAGGAGTCCCATACTAGGACGAAACGGCTGTCTAGTGCTCCCAGGTTTCCTTTGTTCCTCCAACTGATGTCAGTCTTCGATGAACAACAACTTGAAATATTTCCAAATCTCGACAACTCCCTCAAAATTTAATTGGACTGGTGCTCATTGGTGACTAGCTTCGAGAAGTATTCCCGAAGTTCCAATGAGAAGTCGTGACCGGTGGAGTCAAAGCCTGATGGCCGTGAGGACAGTTACTCAATGATGACATCGGGTGGCGGTTTGCGCTATATCGTGAGCTAACAGAAGTTGGAAATATGGAGCATTGGATTCTGACCCAGTGGCTAGGTCAATGGTAACGCGCTGGTCGCGGAACCTGAAGGTCGCGGGTTCGATCCCTGCTGGTGTGGGGTCGTGGGTGCGCAATGCTGAGTCCCATACTACTACGAAACGGCTGTCCAGTGCTCCCAGGTTTCCTTTGTTCCTCCAACTGACGTCAGTCTTTGATGAATAACAACTTGAAATAATCTACAGTTACCAAATTGTCATACAATAAAGAAACAATTGCTATTAGTGTAAAAACAGGAATACACCTGATTTAAACTAAGCGAATTGTAATAGAATGTAAAATTGAAGAACCAAAATAAAAGGGTTATAAGTCATACTAATTAAGAGATGACACCGAAACTTAAGAGAAATTATCACTTATAATTTTTAAAATGATACATGTTAGTTTTTCAGTCCTTAATTACCACGGCGTCTAAGTATCCAGGATGCGTAAAAACGTCGTTTATTGATAACTTCACATATACTTCTTACATTTACTTCATATGCGGCGTCCAACTCATGCAGTATAGTAAAGAGTTTTTTTAGATTCGGCCTTATTTTATGATACTTAAATTTGAATATCTCTAAAGGCTACCTTACCAACTACTGAACTAACCAATCGAGTCTTGCTTTTCACGCTTTAGCAGTGGTATCTGATAGAATAAAGAAACCTAATTGCCGGGGTGATCTTCTAGAGTTACTCCCTAAATTTATGTTGTTGCATTCATTAAAGTGTGTAAAAACTTGTCTCTTTGTTCTCTTATATATCTTATTTTGTGATCACATTTATAGCTGATAAATGTTTTCAGAAGGCCATCTTAACAACTACTGCGATTATGAACTAAATTTCCGCATTTTATGGAAAAATACCTTCCCATAAGAAATACCAAAACCTGATTGGTTAATTCAACAGTTGCTAGGACTACCGGTCAGTTGTTTCATCGATCATAATTTTCTATCAGGTACATAACTGATCCTTAGAGTTTTTTGACTAAAAATTCCTGTCATTTCACGCAAAAAGCCTTCAATTTCTATTTATACTAAACTGTTAATTTTTCAGTTCATGACTGGAAAACGGATTAAAAGTTTGTAAAACATACGTATAAAAAAAGATAATTTTTATCAGTTAGAAAGCTATTGGTTACTTCTTATGTTCAATTCTCAAAATAAGAATCCATAAGTTATCCCTCATTCCGTTTTTTTGTTTTCATTATAAAAAGATTGAATTGGTTAAAAACAGAGTAGCGAGTAAGTTTGCAAACACTGTTTAGCGCAATGATCTTTAGATATTCAAATAGGGTTACTCTTGAATGGTTAGTAAATGCATCTAACCCAGTCCTACAGGAGATGAGTGGTGGCTTGAATAGCTCAGTGGGTGTCATTTTATAAGGAACATCAGTTCCTTTGAAGTTGCAGACACAACCTGCTGATGAGTGTCAGCAAGCATAACACCTGTGTGGAGTAGTACGTTTTGCCATTCCCCCCACCATCTATCATTAGTCAAAGTCCACCATGATGGTGAGTCTCTTATCTTTGAGACCATTATGGGAAATGATAGATGGAATTTAGTCTGCTTTTTGAACTAGACAATACGAAATTCGTTATTCTTCAGTGATATCTAAATGGATATCAGCATTTTCTGCAGTCACTCGCCTTTGATACCAATTTAAAATGTGTGTTTGATACCTCCGGTAAAATTCATCATTTCTAATATCTCATATGAGAGTTTACTCAACGGACTAATTATACTACTGAATATGGATATTGACTAACATATCTCACTCAGTAGGCGAATTACAATGATATAAACACCAGAAAAATATTTAGGTGGAAAAAAATTACGCAGTGATATTATTTTATCACTTAACATAACACCTAACTAGTCATTTAAATTAAGAACCAGAAATTAGGAATTTATTG